CTTCTACAGCTACAGGTTCAGGCTCTGGAATCGGATCGTTGGCTGCTGAGGAGATATTGATGAGCTTGACATCTCTGCGGGGAGCTCGATGTACGGGATCTAAAGCCCTGTTCGAGAGGAATTCATATCCTAATGGACACTTACCGGCTTCTGGTTCTAGTGGGAGCTCCAAGGATACTGGCTCTTGGACGGGAGCAGGAGTAGTATCAGTCGGTGTGGACTCAGACTCGGTTTCTATATCTTAATATGAGCTTCTTCTTTCATTGGGCAAGGTGGAGCGAAAATTGGCCATGAATATACTAACCAGCTGGAATGTCCTGGGTTAAATCTGCGGTGGGTTGTTCGGCGACTTGATCTTCTGTATCGGGCTCTTCCGTGGGAATAGTCTCCGTTGGTGTTGAATCTGGTTCTGGAATCTTTAGCCCCTTCCAAAATTACAAATTAAATTCTCTCAACACTTACCAGCGTATTTTTCTGAAATATCCTCCTCTGGGGGTGTTTCTACCAGTGGTTCTTCAACTACCACTGTCTGAACAAGTATAGAATCGACAGGTGCAGATTCTAGTTCTGTTGAGTCAAGAATTAGTTTACCGCAAATGCTATTGGATTAAAATCTTCCTGTTCGGTGAACACTTACCAGCTAGTGTAGCTTCCGCATTCTCTGCTATTTCATCATCGTCTACAGTGCTTTGATCGTCATCGATGGTTTCAGGCTCTTCATCTGTGACTATTGATATTTTGTTATCCGCTTGAACTTATTCACTCATTTGTAAGATATAGATATACTTACGAGCAGTAACATCCTCAGTGGCCTCATCCTGGATTACTTCTTCCGGGGCTAGTTATTGATATCTTAGTATTTGTCTTGTAATCAAAGAGGTTAATAGAGGGATGCTGAATTAACTTACCAGCAGGAGTTCTGACAGACTCAACCGTTTGTTCTTTCGGGACGGAGGCGTCAGGATCTTCATCTGAGACAAATTCTTCGGAATGAATAGGGTTTTTATCCTCGATGACCGATTCGTACTCAATTTCCTCTTCGACAGGCATTTTTAGCACCTCCTTTGACTCATGCTCTGGAACGGAGTGTCAGTTGTCTGCGACGAGACGTTTTCTGGAGTCTCGATTGGGGCATCCTCGCCGACTGGTGCGGGAGAATTTTCAACTTCGGCGGTGTCAGTGTTCTCAGCGGAATTTTCTACGGGCGCTGCAAGATTGACTTGCTCGCTGGTAACGATTTCTTCTGATTGAGACGGTTCTTCCTCCTCAATCGCTGGTTCGGAACTGTTTTCTTCAAAAGTCGATGTTTTTAAGTCCTCGACTAAACCTTGCACTGGAGCGGCATGATCTTCTGTTTCTGAATCTTCAGTAGGGTTATCTTCCTCGCTGGCAGGTCCTGGATGACTTTCTGCAGCAGAAATAGCTGGATTTTCGGTAACCGCTTGCTCTTGCTCTTGCTCTTGCTCGGGAACAGGAACGTGGATTTCTTCGATGTTCTTTTCCTCGCTCGGTGGGGTATTTTTCTTTTCATCCACCGACTCGGATGAATCTTTCACAGCAGGTCCTTCCGAGGTTTCGATGGGTTCTCCTTGAGGAACGGAAATGTCAGGCTCTTGAATGGTGACTGTTTCATCTGACTGGATATTTTCTATCATATCCACGGATTCGGGAAGTTTCTCTGTAGTTTCTTCTTGAGTAAAAGAAAAATCGGGATTTTCAACGACAACCGGTTCATCGGCTTGAACATTTTGCTTCTCAGTCACGAATTCCAGTGAATTTTCTGCAACAGGAGCCGGGACTTCATTCAATTGACTGTCAAGAACTGGAACCTTTGTTTCTTCTGTCTCGGACGGATCTTCCTCCTTACTAGTTGGTTCGGAATGAATTTCATCAGTGACAGGCGTTTCATCATTCTCGTGGTCGCCCTCGTCGCCAGAATCCGAATCTTCGCTTGAATCGCCATCCCAGCTCGTTCCGTCATTTTCGGACTCGGCTGGATCGGATTCGTTCAATTCTTCCACTTCGACTCCGTCTCCATGCTCGTTGGTAGATGAATTGGCTGGTAGTTCTTCCATTGGCTCAGGCTTGGTGTTGTCTGCCTGGCTTTCGACGGGATTTTCTCTGCAGATGGGAATCGTCATGGGAATTCTCAGGTTGCTGCTCTTCATCTTCGATGGATGACTTCGGAATATCAGTGCTAAGTTCTTCTTCTGCAGGTTCAGGCTGTGAAATCTCGCCCAAGAGCTCAAAAGTATCTTCAGTATGGACAGGAGTAACATTGTGGTCAATCTCAGGTAGAGGGGCGACTTCTTGTAGAGATTTTTCAGCTTTCTTAATCAATTCTGGGTCTTTTTCTATGGACCCCTCTTCTTCATTTTGTTCGTGTGTTTCCTCAATCATGACGTCTTGTTCGGGCATGAGTAAATCTGCTATCTCGTCGCTTTCTGGAGATTCATGAGAATTTCCCGCATCTTCGGTAGGAGAAGCATTTTTCAATCCTGGTCCATCTTCACCCACAGAAGGCAAATCTTCGGTTTTGGGTTGTTCTGTTGTTCCTTCATTTGCTTGAATTTCTTGCGATTCCTCGATTTCGGCGGGAGCTTCTTCAAATTCCTGTGATTTCTTGGGATTTTCTACCTCGATAGAAGGTTGGTCGACCGTAATCGGACCTTCTTCGCTTTTCAGATTATCTTTAATTTCTCCTGTTTTGGGTGATGTATGTTCGAATGACACGGAAATTTCTGGCTCCGAATTTTCCTCAATTATGACTGGTGAATTTTCCAACTGATTCTCATCCGATGGTTCCTCGCTCGCTGGACTCCCTGAACATTTCCGCTGTCGGCTGGCAATTCTTTGACTTCTAAGTCCGATTTCTGTTCATCTACCTCGGGAGCGCATTTCTCTTGATTCTGTGTTGAATCCTCGACCAAAACCGGAACTGGGACATTCGGAATGTCATCGCTTGGCTCAATTGTTTCCGACTCTCTTTTGGCATTCGAATTCTCCAAAGCACTTGAGTCTTCACCGGTGTTAGTCTCAACGACTGGGGCTTCATTGATATCGTCTGTAGGTGCTAAATCCTGAACAATATCGTCCTCGACGTGGGAATCTTCCACGTGATCTTCTACGTCACCTGTCTCGACCTTTTCGGATGGGCCTCCATGAGTTTCAGTATCATCATCGATGTCCCTCGATTCTAATTCTTTCGAGATGTCCTCATTTGCCTCAGAGTAAGATTCGTTCAAAATAGCTTCTTTGTCCACCTGATCTTCCCCAACTTCGAGAGTATCAATATTTTCGGGTCCAGCTTTTCGGGACTTGGCATTTCGGCTTCGTTGTCTCTCAGAAGGCTCATCTTTCAAGCCCTGTGTATCCTGTTCCTCCGCAGTGGTGTCTTTTGAAGTTCCTACGGTCTTTGATTGGCGCCACTAGATCCTTCCCTCTCGTCGACAGCTTGAAGGCCGTTATCAATTGTGACTGATGCCTCGACAGGTACAGATGCCGACTCGGTTGAATTGATGATCCCTTCTTGAATATTAGGTTCTTCGGAAGGACTGTTCTCAATGGATTCCTCGCTCAATTGAGCTTCGCTTTCGGGTTCCGAGACAATGCCCTTCTCAAACACATGTTCAGCAAGAGGTGGTGCTTCCTGACTGAGGTTTGTACTTTCTTTCACAACAGCCGGTTCAACGCTAGAGGGAACATCGTCCTTCGGTTCTATCTCGTCGCTTATTGTAGGTGTCTCTATGTGACTCGGATCCTTTTCGCCGATGGCATTTGTCGAAATGGATTCGACAGGGTCTGAGGACTCTTCGCTATGGACCGAACTTTCGTTGGTTATGGTTGAAGCATCCTCACTGCTTGGAATCTCTTCTGTTACCTCGGATTCTTGTGGACCATGTTCATCCGGAGGAAATACCTCCTCATTAGTGACCGGATTTTCTACTGTAGCTTCCGAAACAGGCTCGCTGCTGGAGTCCTCGGTATTCACGTCCAGCCCATCTGCGGTTGTAGACTTATCGTCAGTAATTTCAGGCGCTTCGTTTGGAACAGGAATTTCTTCATGAATTTGGACGTCTTGGTAAACAATGGGAGTTTCTTTCGTATTCGCAATCTCTCCCACTTCCCTCTGTACATCTTCCACTGTTGAGACATCACCCGCAGAGACCTCTCCCGTAATTGAATGTTCCCCGTGCTTGGAACGTCTTCGCCTTCCACCTGTGCGTTATCTAAAGCTGGCGCATCACTCGTTGACTTCTCCTCCGTGGCTGGATGTACTTCAGGTTGCGTCGGAACACTCTCTTGTATAGGAATTGATTTTTTCTACGTCCTCGCCGGGATTATCGTCTGATATGGCGGCGGGTTCGGGATCTATTTGGATGATAGTAAGCGTGTGAAATGGATATACGAGTATTAACCGAAAATTGATATTTCAAAGTTCCATCAAGGATTAGTGATACTCACCCGATGCTGGCTGAACAACTCCTGGAGTTTCCTGTGGCTCCTGGGCCGAATCCACGCCCTCATTGCATGTCGTTATAGGGTCATTACTCCTTGTTGTAGGATCCGATGGTATCGAGATTGATGCGAGCGGTATTGGTACGAGTGCCGACTCTGAAGCATCTTTTCGTCTGCTCTTACTTTTCTTACTGCCGCTTTTCTTTCCCGTCCTTCGCCTTCCTTTTCTTGCCCCTTGATTGTGGATCTGAATCATCGGGGTCGCCCGATGGTGAATTTGAACTTCCGATGGTCCTACTGAGCTTCCCGAGTAGGTCTTGAACTTCTCCCGCTACTACCTTTGCTCTTTTAACAGATAAAGCCTCAGGCTTGCGTGGTACCGCGGGTGGAGCAGTTTTCTTATCATTACCACTCTTATTGCTCTTGCTTCTTGATTTAGAACTTGTCGATTCTATTTCATCGGCAAAATGAACTACATGATGTGACGAATGCAATCCATGCGAATTTACTCTGCTCAGGGCATGCCCATCGTCGTGTATGTTGTCATGTATGTCATCGTGTATGTCGTCTCTTGGTAGAGGGTCCGGAACGGAAGGGGCTGTGTTATCATTTGTATTCGGGGTAGGATCGGAAGGATTTTCTATATTGTTATTCGATGCTAGCTCCAGCTCTATCTCAAAGTTAACAATACAATCCAATGAGTCCGATGAGATCAATTAGGTGCTACACATGAACACGTGAAGAGGAAGCTCAGCAATCCAAAGACAATAAATAGTTCATACCTGCTTCTGTAATATCTCTCGCTAGACTTTCTTCCGTGTTTGGGCTAGACTCTATCAATTTCGAGTCACTCGATTCTTCAGTCGTGGATGGAGGCTTGTCGCTTTCGGTGGACTGAGTTTCTTCTGTTAAACTGGGTACGTCATTATTCTCTTCCTCTTTAGAACCATCCCCCTCCTGTAAAGGTGGATCTTCATCCTTGGTTTCCGACAGCGGGGTATCGCTTGTTTCTGTCGTTTCTATTGGCTCCTCTGGGATCCCCTCTAATTTGTCCTGGGATTCATTGCCTTCATCCTCTTCTTCATCCTCATCATCGTCTATACCTTTGGTCAGCAATGGAATCTGATCTATGTGGACATTCGACGTCTCAATTGCAATAGAAGTGGATCATTGAACCATGATTGTACCAATTGATCGAAAACAGCAAATGTGGAGAAGGGCGTAGAATGTAGAGATGCAGACATGAAACTGGGAAAGCTTACCTGTCTTCCCCTCATAATATCTGGCAATTTTGATTTTGATGTATCCAATACTAAAGGTTTCGCCCACTGAGTTGTCTGTATTGAGGACCATTACTATCAATGGCCGTGGTTCTGGCTGGACAAAAGAAATATTCATACTGATGGTGTGGGTATCTCGTCACAAGCAACAAAAGATGCAGAATCTTCTACGAGAAACGAATTGAACGTCCTTCTTATTGTTGTCCTGATTATTTCCTCCCATGGTCTACAGTGACGAGGGGGGTTGCCTCCGGTTGAATGCGGGTGCCCAATCTTTGAGTGACAAAAGTTGTGGTTACCACCCGAAAATCGTTCAACGTGGTTGGAATAGAAAAGAGCACAATAAATGAAGGCCTCAAGATTACTTAAATCAGTTGATGGCAAGGCGAGATAATTCGCCTATAGGAAAATAGAATGAAGAATAAACGCAGGACTAAAAAATGATTCGGAAGCATGAACGGAAATTCAAACGAAATTGGTTTCATTGGTAGGTACAAGAAGAAAGTCATTGACGAAAGAGATCATTGCTTTCACTCATGGCTTGATATCAGAGACGGTCAAAGGTCCCACGGCCATCCCATGATTTGCCAATGTTTGTCGACAGTATTAACTGGACTTTGCCTAAATCATGCTCGTGCTCAACCACTATTGGCCCAATATGATAGATACATTGCAGCCACGTTGCGGTCAAATGAATGATGGTAATCAATTCTGATTTTCGAGGCAATTCGCGATATTGCAAGGGCCCTGAGTGCAGCCTAACCTGCACATTGATGAGAAAGTGGGCAAGACCGTGCAGTAAGAAAATTCAGAAAATTCAGAAAAAAACCCATAGTGTAAGGTTAATAGTCGATATGCAGGAATATATCCGACAAATGGGCCAAAACCCTTGCTGCTTGCAGCTTTCATACGTCGTGCTAACTGGGTATCTCACCAGAAAGATGTGGGACATTCGATTATGAGAGAATCCTACTGGTTAAAATCACCCTTTTGAATATGTTTGATGTACAAGACTGGTACCCGAAAATGTTTCGCGGTAGTGTGCAGCTTGACCTGGTGAGTGTGCAACGTGGTCGCCTTGTATGCCTTATCTTAGGATACTTGCGATGAACTACCAGTCGAGCCACTGAATGAAAGAATATTATATATATCCAATTTATCCTGATCATGGAATTGAAAAGATTGTGCCGGGGGAAGAGGAAGAGTCACAAACCATAAGCACACCCCTTTCAGACCCCCGATAAATGACAATATCCATATGATATCGTTAATTGTAACCGGTTGCCACACCAGTGGAACTCTACCTTAATAAATTCGAATATAATCTGATTTTAATTATATAATGAAGTCTTTAGAAATATAAACTTCTATAGATTCTTTAAAATCTTTAAAAGTGTAAGCTTCTGAAAACTTCCAAAATGGATTAATATATAATCAGAATAATTTTATAGTTTAAAAGTTTCATATTTAATTTAATTATCAATTAATTTATCTATATTCCAATTAATCTAATAATATATTTATTTTCAAATAGATAACTAATAATTATTAACTTTAACTTATAATTATCAATTATACAAAAACCTGAAATAATTATTGCTTTAATTAGATTATTATATTTTAAGTATTATTATAATTAAACTATATACAATATAATAGTTTTCAATCAATAATTTACTGAATCGTCTTTATTCAATTCAATCGAAACCCTTGTTCAGATTGTTATTATTATAGAATATAAATAAATAATTCAAATATTTATTTCTAATTTATTCTATAAAGATTATAATAAACATCGAATTTTTGTTATATAAACTGATTTCTATTATACTTTTAATAAACAATTTTTCTTGATTTTTATATAAAAGATCTTATAATTAATCTTCTTTTTTTGAAGAATTATATTTAATTGAATTGAATTATTCTTCAATAATCTAATAATCAAGATTATTAATAATCAATTAAACAAAAATATAAAATCTGAAATTTATTATTTATTCTTTAATTATAAATTGTTCAGATAAAATTCGATAAGATATTCGAGGAAATAAACCCCGATTATATAATTGAAAAAGTATTACAATAATTCAAACAAATCGAATCAATCATAATCTACATTATCAAGTTTCAATAATATATCAAATATATTATCTAAAATGATAACTATTTAAAATTGCAATTTTATAAAGAATTGAAAGATATCATTAAGAACAAATTAACAAAAACTCTGAAACTATCTAATCTTTTTGAATTAATCAAAATCTTTATTTTCATTGATAATCGATTTTATAAATAACAAATAAAAAAGAAAGAAATCATTTAGGAAAACAGAAAGTTTTAAAAACCTTATCATTAGAACAGATATCATAATATCAATAATCTAATGAAATTGAATAATATTAAACAATATCATATAAAATCAAGCAATTTAAATATTGATAAAAAGAAAAATATAAAAGAATAATTTATACTTTATTTATAAAAAATGAATATATATTTCGAGATTGTTTTCAAAAGAAGAAACTATTTATTACAAAAACAAAAACAAATAAGATTTGGAAACAAAAATAAAATTCTCAAAAGTAAAGATCTTAAAAGAAAACTCAAAGGAAATAGAATTATTGAAAAGATTTATTTCAATTCAATTCTAAACAATTAAAAGAATTAAATATCAATAATCAAAACTTTAAAACTAATATTAAGAATAATATCGATTATAAAAAGAATCTTCAAAAATCTCAAATCAAAAACAAAACCAATCAAGGAATTCGAAAAAGATCAATAATTAATTGAATCCTATCATTTGCTTTAAGAAAATGAATTATAATATCTAATCAATTATCTAAATAAGAAACAGATATAATACTATTATAAAAAAAAAAAATCTAATTTCATTAAGAAATATAAAATCTATAATTATCCCATTTTGTTAATATTCTATATAATAATATATAATAATATTTACTATATAATATTTAAAAAAAATATTGAGATAAATAATATCAGAAAATATATTATAAATATAAATTCTTCATCTTTCAATAAAGTATAAGAATATAATAAATATAATCTAAAAATTAAAAATATATAAAAGATCTTATTATAAATCAGGATTTGTTATATTTAATAAAGAATCGATAAAGATAACGAAAAAGTATTAAATCGAAATTATTATCAAAATTTTCAAACAGGATTAATAAGATTATTATTTATTATATTCTATTGATTATTGAATATAAATAAATATTAATATAAATAATTGAATCTCTTTATCGAAGAATAAATTATCAAATCATTATTATTAGAATTAAATGATATTATAAGAATCAAATAACTAATCATAAAAATCAGATTAGAAAATCAACAAATCAATACTTTAATTGATTTTGAAATTATAGATATATTCATAAATTCCAATTTTATAAAAAAAAATAAAATTCCTATAGAATTAAAATAGAATTTTTATTAGTTAATATTGTTAGAAAAAAAGAAAGTTAGAATTGATAATTGAATATATAAAGAAATCAGTATTATCAAGATAATTATATTAAATAAATATATCAAATAAATCAAGATAGATTTAGTATTATTAAATAGATATATAATTATTCTTGATACCTTATAAATTAAAAAATATAATTCAAATATCAATTAAATAAAAGATACTTTAACATTCGATCATTATAATTGTAATAACAAATAATTATATAATCCAAAGAAATAAACTTTCTAAAAGATCAAATATTATATTATAACAATAATAGATCCTTTATTAATCAATAAAATCAATAAAAAAGAAATTCCAATATAATATAAAAGATTCGTTAAGTTTTTCAAAAACCTTTAAGATTTGAAGACTTTATTAAAATATAAACTTTAAAATTATAAAATCAATTTCAAAAAGGATTTATATCTTTTGCTAAAAAATTAAGATTATATAATCCTAGTATTATACAAATATAAAAAAAATACAGAATCAAGATTGAAAAAAAATAAATTAGGAAATCCAAATCCTTTTGTATATCCAATATATTATTAGTATTTAAGAAAAACAATCTAGATAATTAATTTTATAAAGATTACTATTAAGTTAACAATAGAACAATCAAAGATATATACCCAATATCAAAAGCCCAAAAATTCAAGAATAAATTGAATAGAATTATAATCTATACGAAATTAAATCAAAGAAATATTTTCAATCTAATACAAATAAAAAAGAATCATAAATAAAAAACAATCTTCATTTTATCATTAAATCTATAGAAATATATAATCATACCATTCAAACTAACCAATATATCAACTATATATCAACAACAAAACAACAAAATACTTAAAGAATTCAACTTATTCATAATCTATTATCTAAATAATATCTTAATCTTTTCTCAAAAGAGAAAAATACGAAAAATATATATATAAAAATATTCGAAACATTTAAAAGAATAGATTCAAAATTCAAATTATCGAAATATAAATTTAAAATACAAAGATAACATTCTTAGAATATATCATTCAATTAAAACAAATGAATATAGATTCTGAAAAACAAAAAGTAAAAATTAAAAAGATCCAAGAATATCAAGAATATATAATCCATACTAAAATTCGTTAATTTCTATCGAATATTCATAAAAGACTTTTCGAAAATAATAAAATCTTTTATCAAAATAATCAAAAAGGAATAACTTTTATATAAAATGAAAACAAAACAAGCTTTCTAAAAAATCAAGAATAGATTTATAAAAGAACCTATCCTTTACAATTATTATAATAACCGAAAAAGTATTATCGAAATAAATATCTCTAATATCTATATAATAAAAATCTATCTACAAAAAGACAATAATAAGAAACTATATCTTATTATTTATTATTCAAACAAAATAAACAAAACAGAACAGAATTACAATATTTATAAGAAAAAATTCATAATTATTATAAAAATATTGAAATATTGAAAAATCTATCTCCAAAAGATTAAATTCCTAATAATCATTTATACTGATTATATAAATCTTCAAACCTTTATTATCATTAAGATCTTGAATAATCATAGATTAACTAAATAGATTAAAGAATTAACAAAATTTGATTTAATAATCAAATATATCA